AGCTTCCTGCCGATAAGCGTATTTTGTGCCTGCTCCTTCCCCAACCAACCCTTCCCACTGGAACGCCCCTGTGGGAGGGGACCCCCCTAGAGGTCGCCTCCAGGTGTCATCGCCACATACTGCATGCTCTGGGCTGGCCCGGCTGCCGAGGCGGCGCGCAAGCGTTTGCAACTATCTTGCCTCTTGGCCCCGACTGTGCAAAAACATAAACCATGTAAGCCAGCCTCCTCGGGATAAAGTCTGTCCGCGAGCCTTGTGTGAAGCTACGGCGCCCTACTGGGACATCAAAGCTGAGCTCTCTCCCCGCATCTCCTCGGTAGACCGGGCTGCGCACCAGCACAGCTGGCTTGCCGGTGTGTCTCTAAATATGCGACTGCTCTGCAAGAATCTCACCAGGACCTGCACACGGGAAGCAGTGTGAAACGTGGGCTCCACTGATGCTGAAATGGTGCCTTAGGCGAATAAATGTATCTATGTTGAAAGCTGTTCAAAGCCATTCTGCTGATGGAAACTATCCTCTGATCTACTCATACACACTCATCCTCTCAATGCGGTATAAAAAATCTCACACTTTGCCACCGCTTCGCAAGTCCCTCTCGTCGCGTCTGAGCGACTCGCATTTGCATCTCCGCTCTCTTCGATGTCCTTGCAGATGTCCTTTCTACAAAAACAATAGCAAACACGAGCCCACGTTGGGATAACTTAGCAAGGTTTGGCTCTAAGCTGGGATGCAGGATTATGCAGGATTCGTCAGGAAGTAGATACCACCAAATGCCGCCAAATTCGCCTCCTCTTCCTCAACACTCATCCACGAGCCCAATCGGGCGCCAGGCACCTCGACGCAGAGTGCCACGCGGATTGCTGACAGCATGCAAAATGCGTATAGCTGCCGTGCCTCACCCTGACCATGGGGACTGGCCTGAGTTTGCGGAATACCTCGTACCAGGCACCTGCTCCGTCTCACCCCTCTGCTTCAGCACACACCACACCTGCAGGAGTCTTCGTGTCTTTATCCATGGTCTGCCCAACGGTTTCCCATTGGGCCTCGCGTAGCTCATCCTCGTCGAGTGACTGGCCACTGGAAACCTCCGCACTTGTTCCGCGGGATGCGTAACACTTGTCCAAACTCCAGAGATCGGGTGGGGTGGAGTTACGATCGAAACACGCGACCCCCATGGCATTTGCAGTATTTCCTACTGCTCGTCACATTGACCAAGCATGTGCACTCGCAGCGCACACCGTGACATATGCGTGCATTCATACGGTTTTTGGTGCGTCAGATGCCGACATGTATGGCATTTACAGCACTTTCGCGTGTTTTCGCACATCCGACATTTTTAGTGCGAGATTGTCCTTAAGCATTTGGGCACGTGTGAGGGTTCAGGTCTGGGTTTCGGATTTCAATGTTTTCCTGGCTCGTGTGAGACCTTTCTGCCAGCAGCTGCCATTGCTTTGCTCACGGAGGCGTGCCTGTCATAGCTTTAGTCTGATCATTCTCCTCCGCTTGTGTTGTGCGCCTGTTCTAGCATTGCGACCGGTTGCACTTGAGGTACAAGCTTTCCTTTTACAGTTCTCCACTAGCAGCACTAGCAGAGGTCACGCAGCGTGCGAAGCAAATACAATCGAACATGGAATGCCCGAATAACCCGCAATTCACCACACCTGCCACGGTTGACCTTGCTTGGGCCAGCGTAAAAGAAAAACGAATCGACATTTCACGTCTGCGAAACAAGCGCTTCCCTGCCTACACAAGGCTAGGCATGTTGCGAGCATGTGCAAAACACAGGAACAGCCACCTACACCCCAACCTGCAGGTCCTGGCGAGCAATCATGGATGCCTCGGGCAAAATGTAGATTGCAAGATGGCTACGAGCACCTTATTGCAAATCCTGCACCCTGCCTGCTCATGAATAGGAACAGCCTGGTCATGACACTAAGCACCCAGTACATCATGTCCAGTTCTGATTCTCAAGAACAGCGCCTCTGGCTCACCTGCCGGCCAGAATGTGCAAAGGCTATGACTTGCAAAGGGTCTCTCCGACGAAGGTCGACCTTTGCTTGGACCATCCTCTTCGTCGCTGATGCGACCTGATCGGTGGCAACCATGGAGAACAGAAACACATGACACGAGCAAGAATCTAACCGATCTAGCCTGCTCCGCAGTCGTCGTCAATGGGTACAAACCCAACCCCCTGCAAGCACAGGCAAGTACAGACAGACACATGGCTGGCGCTGACTGCGAAGGTGTCGTGACCTGCCTGTTGTCGTTTCTTTGCCAGAACTTTCGTCCTCTCACATTGGAGTACATGAGCGAGACATATTCTGACTGCCCGACATGCCTGGCCGCCATCCATGACACTGCCGCGGCAATGCCATACCTCTCTCTGCCCTGGCATCCAACAGTCTTGTGAAAAAAGGCAACAAATGAAAGTGGAAAGCGCCTCTTCTGTTACCTCCATCACTCTGTGCCGAGCATCAAGGCTCGCCTCTGCTATAGCTTATTGGTACTCAACTCCTCTCGTATGAACGATGCTCTGTATGCAGGCTAAGGCACAAAGCATCCTTTGGATGTCGAGAGCCGAGGCACTTGGCTTTGTGGCAGACAGCTCTAGATCTGCATGCGACGCGCTCTTCACGTCAGCATGAGGCCTACCTAGGCCTACCTGGGCCTGCCCTGGGTCCAGTGCCCCTGCGTTCTTCACAGGGCCGGACCTTCGAGCCAAGGACAACCTGCAGCATTGTCCAGAGCAGGAAATGCATCATCCACAGCCGCTGCTACAGTCCAGGCATAGGAGGCAGCGGAAGCTGCGTGACCGGTGCAGTGAGGGTCGGCCCAGCGTTGTGCGATCTTGGCACCTGCAATCCAGAGCTGCTCCTAGCTCTCCTTGGGGCTGTGATTTTTGAAGCTGCCTTGAAGAAACCATCATCGTCAGGCGGTTTTGGCCTCTGGCCATAACTTGTGAACAGCCCCCGCTCATTGTTTGTTGCTTGATGTTCTGTGTGTCTCTGCTGTGCAATACGATCTCCCTGGCTAACGAAGCCGCCGCAGGCTAACCATGGACCACCTCAAATCCTCCAAAGCAAAGCAAAGAGTCAATTGTTGTGGACAGTGTCTCGTACTGCCCCAAGACTAGGTTGCTTCTCATTGCCAAGGTGTTCAGGAAGTTATGCCGTGGTATGCCCTGAAGACGATTTCATGAAACTCGGCTCAGTCTTGACGAGGTCAGAAGAAGCTGCCGACTCAGCATTTTGGGTTCCAACGATCCAAGACTTCTGAGCACTCACTCTTTTAACGTTTATCGCAGAAAGGCCCCGAAAAACGAGACAACAGAGGGGGAGGCAGCGACTGTACCAGATGAATATGCTTTCCTAGTTGCTGTTGTTGTTCAATCTGTGCTTCTGTTGTATCCAAAGACACAAACCCATGACGCTGCATGCCGAGCGTGCTGCAAATCATCCACCACCTCAGTCAGGCTGAGCTAAGTCGGACAAAAACATACTTATCTTGAGACTCTTGGAGGCAATAGAATGTTCAACAGCTTCTCTGTCGCAGCAGCCTGTCTGCAACAAGAGACCGTGGCCACAAACGGGTCAAATTCCTAAAGCCTCCTGTACAAACCACACCAAGAGCATCGGCAAGCATCCATCCCCAGCGTTCCACAGCATTCCCCAGCTGCAATGAACCCACTTTTCAGCGTGCATCTATGCACACATATAAAGGGCGCAGTTTCTGATCGCAAATCCTTCCACTCATTGAACTTCGCAGAAGAGGCGCCGGCTAAAGTACATTTCTATCGTACCCCAAATGGAGGCAACGAGACCAACCTGGACCCTGCAAGAGAGCGTGCAGCGCGAAACCCCGCTCCCCTCTGCGCACAGGCCACAAAGAAACAGGAAGTTGATTCCGAGGTCTGGGTTTCATCGAGGATGCTTCTTAAAGTCAGATCAGACTGAGCTTGCCATGTCCGGGAACGTTGGACTTCCGGGCACGGCCGGGCGCTTCAGAATTACTTTGCCATCGGTGGGCCCTGCCTTGGAAAGCTTCCAAGATCTTCCAAGTTGGTCAAGTTCATATTGTCCTCATTATTGTGCTATTCTCTAGACACGACTCGGCAGTCAAGCCTCCTGCGCTCCTGTAGGTTGCAAAAGACCTGTGATCAAACTAGCATTTGATCATGCAACAAGTTCGTTAGAGCGACAGCATGCTTGATCTGACAGGACTTGAGGAGGTACTTCGGTAAGGCTATGCATTGCAGAAAGTTCTTTGGAGTTTCCGGTTGTCGGTAGTACTTGGCAGAAGTCAGACAGATAGGATCACGACATTGACAGAGTGAAGGGTCGAGCGAAGGAAGGAATATGTGCGCGCGGAATCGTGGAAGAAAAGTTCTGGATAGCCTTGCTCGAGATAACACAGACTCAGAAAGCAAGACTATGCACGAATACTGCATTAAGCTGGTGACCATGCAGCGCATGAGATGACCCCCGAGCTGGGATGGGAGCAGGCAGGAGGCAGCCCTCATTCCCAAAGACGAGCACCGAGATGGTGGAGAAGACTCTGCTTGCTGACTGCAGATATCCAGACTGCAGGCAAAATATCGCACGGATGCGCAGAAGGGAGAACTTGAGACCACAAGTACTTGTCGCTACCGCCTTAGCACGGGCAAATTGGACAAACCGGAAAACCCCGCAACCCTCGAGGACTAGAACTCTCGACTTTGAACTTGTTCATTCGAGAACCAGGTGGTCAAACGAATCTCAGAGCTCTGGGGGACGAGGAAGCCGCGTTCAAAGGACTTCCAAATTCCGAGAGGCCTGCTGTTCTCTACTCTTTTGTTTGCCGACTCTGAAGAAACGATGCAGTGAGAGATGGCAAGTCGTGACAGCACAACTTCAGCCGGGAACGATGCTTTGTGGACAATTAGCTCCGATGGCTTGGAGCGCGAGTCCTGCCAGTCCAAGAACCTGACAAAGCATGCCAGCTTGCCGCGCTTCACTGTGCTTCACTGTGCTTCACCGCGCTTGCCCAAAGCACGAAGCGGATGCACGAAATCTCCGAGGTGCTGACATCTGGACTGCAGCATCAGCAGCCGAGTTCCCGTTGTGCTCTGGTCTTCCGGAAGCTTCCCTGGGCCGCCAAGAATGTACAAGCAGTCAAAGTGACAGTCAACATTATAAGGCAGGCGCGAGTTTCCCAAAAGATCCTTCAGTGGAGAGCCTCTCAACAGACATGCCTTGATGCGGCTAGTACATGCTGTTACGGCAGGTGAAATAGAGCAGCTCCAAGCAGATTCACCTGCAATGACACGTGAGGGTGCCATTGGAGCAGGCCCTTGGTGAATCCAAGACATGAGCCGAAGGCCAGTTCATCTACAACTTCACTTGACTTCAGGGCAGAACGGTGACCATTGCAAGCGGCACCTTGTCTCTTTGGCGCCACAGCCTGAAAAAGCAAGGGGCGCACCGGGTGCACCCCAACTGGGACGACATGCAACATAATGCAACCACGAGTGACGAGAGAAAACCGAAACCTTGCGTTCCGTTCTCAGGGCTGTCGGAGTGAGCGTTGCGTCAAAGACCCAACTTGGAATCCTGCACTTTGCCGTTGCTCTACAGGGCTAAAATCATCTTAAAAATGTGCCTTTTGCCTAGCTCTTTAGGGTTCTACTGTGTTCTACTTGATGTTCGGGTGCCACCGTTATGACAGCGCAATCGCGGCAGGAACCTTGCCTGAGAGGTTCAAAGCTGTAATCAGGCAGCCCGAAGAACTGGAGAACCGGCATGATGAACACACCAGGATCCTCTCGAAGTCGAATCTCGAAGTCGAATTCGAACTCGTTCAAGCTCACTGCGATTCACTGCGTCTGCATGGGGCACTTGCTCAGGTCCGTCAACAGGCTTGCATTGTGCGTCATGTCTTCGGGCGTGACCTGAACTGGATCTAGGCTGCTGCTTTTGCTTTCTCATTCAATCTTCGCCCCAATGTACCAAAGTTGGTAACAGTGAATGGGAACCTTTCCTCTATTGCTTTGGAAAATTGCTGGAAACATCGAATCGTAGCAACTGGCTGTCTGACAATGCAGCTGCAATGTGTGCCACTCAGCGGTCGGCCAAGCGCTTTCTCCGCGTACATGTCTCGAACAACTCTTGGCCGTGGGTCCACGGCACAACCGTATCCTGCTCCAAAACCCAAGCTTCCTGCAGTAAAATAAGATCTAGAGCCACGCCTTCTTCCCATGCACGATGAGAAGAAATCCAGAAATGTCCTTGACTTTCTCCTCAACATCTTGGAAACACGAGAGAATGCCGGCTTAAGCAGAGACGGAGATGGAGACAGGTCAGGGATAAAGGGAGAAGGAAGGATGAGGAGAAAAGGAAAAAAGCGGTGAGAGAAGAGAGAGACCGAAGCAAAAAGAAAGAGAGAGAGAGAGAGACAGAGAGAAAGAGAGACAGCTGCATGTTGCGTTCGCAACAAACCATGAGTTTTCCTTTGCACGGCATGTTCCTTTGCACGGCATTCTCGACATGTGCAAAAACTTCTGTTGGCGATGTTTGTATTGACATTGCGTGGGTGTGTCCCGAGAAAAAGCACACAATCACTCTCACACACACACACACACATCGGGCACCTGCTGTAACTGCTGTCATGAAGGGTTGGTCAAAAAGTCCGAGAGTTAAAGAGTCCAAAGCCCAAGATTTCCATCTCCCACAAGTCGTCCAAAAGTCCAAAAACTCATGCTTTCTTGCAATTATGGACTTTTCGCAGGATTTCGGACTTGTGGACTTGAGGGCCCCAACTCTTGGACTTGCAGCCCCCGGAATATGAGTCTTGGGTTCTTGAGACTGAATCCCATATGAAGCTGGGGTTTAACGAACTATCCCCCCGCACCCCCGCCCTCCCCCCCGAGCGATAACGTGATGCGGAGTGAGTGCGGATTGTATGCAAATGGAGCTCGCCCTGCTTTGAGAAGAGAATTTGCAACGTTAGCGTTTGCCTGCCTACGCACTGGGAGAGACCCCATCATTGCCAATTCTGGGGAATAGCCGGAAGCCTTCATCTTGAGAGAACGCCGAAGTCTAAACTACCGAGTCAAGGGTTCAAACCTTTAGACCACGCTGAATATCGGGGACAATGCGAGACTGGAAAATGCAGGACATGTCCGGCACGGACAAGCAGAGCCGTGGGTGCTGGGAGCGTGAGCTAGGATGTCGCCAGATGGCAGGGCGGCTTCAGAGCTGTTTTCGCGCTGAGCAGGCCAGGGTGCTTGGAAGCGGTCAGCAAGTGGGGAGCAAAAGCATCCTAATCGCTCCGTCATCCCCAGAGTCCGCCTGTGGGCGGCGGGTCGCTCCTGGGCAGGAGGTGGCTGGTGAGCTGCGGCTGTGCTAACCCGTTGGCGGTGCCGCGCGGCTCTCTGCTTGTCGAGCAGTGGGCCACGGCGACGGCGAAAGCGTAGATCGCAAGCAGGGAGAAGGCAAGGACCGCAACCCGTACAAAGGGTCTCAGTGAACATTCGGGCGGAGGGCGCATGGTTGACAGCTTGAGCCAATGTGAGGGCCACGAAATCCGCGCTTAACACTGCTGGTGCGTTTCCATAGTCCGTATTAGTGGCGAAAATTGGAGTCCTTAAGCTATTGCGAATCCGATCGTGGTTTTCCGACGGTTAGCCTACTTTAGCACCTATGTACCGAAAGCGCAAAATCACAACTTGTAGCTGTAACACGCAGTGTAATGGACTCCTGAACTTCTTCTGCACCAAAAAAAACGAAAGATACCTTTTCCTAAGTCGATTTCGAGTTGTTGCTTTTCTTTCCATGCCAACCTCAGATTCGCTGCACCGCCCTTGCAACAAAACAGAACGAAAGCACCACCAGCACCACCAGATCATCCATTTTTCCTCAGTCTTTGTCTGTAATCTGCTACATAAACCGAGACTATCATTGAGCGAGAAGCAGAACTAGACTGTAATATCTAACCGAGTTGTAACAATTTTTAACAGACCCTCACTCCGAGTTGTTTGAAGCAACAGTATGTGCAAAACATTAAACACCGTCTGCGAGCTTACAACCGGCGCAACATCAGCTTTGTTGAAAAGCAACAAAGCGCTAACATTGCGACTGAACCGCAAGCGCTTGCGTGAAAACTTCCTAATGCGAGCGAGAGAGAGAGAGAGAGAGAGAGAGAGAGAAAGAGAGAAAAAAAAAAAAAAAAACAGCAAGTGAGTGCAGAAACAACAGCAATGGGACGGCCTTGTTTGGAAAGCGCTCTTCGATCAAATCCCTGCCACGACGTCCAGACCAGACATACACAGGTCACGGACTCACACAGGTGCCAGGGGCACGCCACTCGTCCCAAGTGGCAGCGGACCACTTCTCTGACGGAAAGAAAGGGACAGATCAGAATGACCTCAAGTGCACTCCAGGCACGTTATGCATACCCGTGCGGTGGCAAAGCAGCCTCAAGAAGCAAGTTACTGACAAGCGCAAGGTCGCGGCGCCGTACGTCTTGGCCTCTGCAGCAATGTGGAGTGCTGGCCTGGGCCACACGTGTGAAAGCGCAAGGCACACCCTGAACATCCTCAAGGTGCGAGTCTTCTAAGTTGCATGTAATGGCGTAGAGAGTAGTTGGAGATGAAAAGCGCAGATAAGGCAGAGCAGGCCAATGATGCTGCTTGTCGCAGAGACACAAACACTCCTCTCCAAAAGGCCAATGCAATTCAGGCCCATGCCCACTGCCCACAGATCGGCCGAGTACGATGATGTCCTTTCGCTGCATATATATATATATATATGTATATATATGTGTATATTTATATACATGAGGAATATATTTTCATGAGGAAGTAGGTAGGATTCATGATACTAGTATGTCAGAAGCACAAAGGCCGTCTCCTCGGACGAAAATCGCAGAACCTGCAAACTATCACGAAATCAAGCTTGACCTTCTCATGTTTTCAGCTAGACTTAGGAAGTGCGTTCAACGCCCCTCAGCTGTGAGGCCATGCGACCCGCTGTGATTCCATGTGAGTTGAGTGACCTCATACTTCCCTCTTCTTGGCCGATGCGCAAGATGGTTGGCTTTGAAGATGAGATGTCTTGGCTTGCCTCGCCCGAAACCTAGGAAACGAAGCATAAGAAAAGCGCAATGAACCAGATCTGCCCCTTTTCGCCCGTTAACTTTCCATTTCTCCGGTGCGCACAACCCGAATGACACACGAGAACCAACCCACTGCCTCAGTGATGAAGCGAAACGCCAACTTGGCATTCTCAATCACTGACATCTCATCTGCCTGCATATGATACAGCTGCTGATCATTCACCCCTACGGCTGGTGCTTGATCTGCGCCTGTCCACCAGGACAAATCCCATAGCCTGGGTACTCGACAGCCAGAACATTCACCTGACTCCAAAGCAGCCAACTTGCCTCAACTGATGCCCCTTGTCTCTCACAGGAAAGACAAGACTCATCAAAATCCGACGATGCAGCTTGCCTGGAACTGCATACGCAACATATTGCAGAAGTTGTAACAGCGTCCCAGGTCCTGGAGACAAAACGTAAAGTCCCAAGACATTAAGCCACGGGCCTAACCCCTGAAACATGTTGAACATACAAGGCTCTTTGTCCTCCGCGTTGCTGTGCATGTAAAGCATAACGAAGCGCGCAGAGTTGGATGTCAAGAATAAGCAAGGAACGTTGGCCTCACGCAGAATCAAACATGGACACATGCTGCCACCTCGAATCACATATGCATCCGCTTCTGTTGCTACTGCAGAACCAGCCGTCCTCAACATTTGGATCTTCTGGATCGAGACTGCGCGGCAACCATATGAGCTCCTGTGTGCTGTTCCGGCTTTCGTTATGTAAGGGCAAGTTCCTGCGACACCCTGCCGCTTAGCCCAGCTCTGCAAAACAAGCGGCCTCTTCCGGAAACGTATGCAGATCGTAGCTGGCTTCTGGCGCTGGGAAAAGCAGCGTATTGACCTGAACACCGTGTACAGGCATAGGTACTCGTGACCATGACTGTCGAAACTGTCTGCCAAATCCAAGCCCCCACTGCTTTGCAAAACAAGAAAGCACGACATCAAACTGCACAGGGCCCTCCGCAGACTCCGCCTAAGGCCCATGCCAAGTTGAAGCCTCCTGCCATCTAGCCTTGCAGTTCAACAACAATCGACATGACAACTAGTACCGCTACCATTGTCATCACTACCATCACCACCATCTTCGCCACAGCTGGGGCGAGTGCAAGATCTGAATCAGTTCAGACAAACTGCCTTAGTGGGCAAAAACTTGGCAACAGGTGTGGAACCACTAGGAACGACACGAGCCTAATGGCTGCAACCCGAACCCGCAAAGGGCAGACCTTAGATCTAGGGAACCTTCTATGACAGTGAGAAAACACCTGCTTCCCTGAAGCACAAAAGTGAGAGAACCCACCATGACCTTGCAACCACTCACTTTCGCCGAAAGAAAAAACATGCGTTGGAACAGAATGCACACAGTCCGGAACGAAACGAATCAATCGAAAGAACACCTGCCATCCCAATAGGCCGATCAACAGGCCACAAGTTGTAAGACCAGGTTGTTCCACAAACTGCGGCACCTCCTGCAAGACAATTTCCGGCTTAGAGCCAAGCCTCCCCAACGCCGCATTCTTCATGAAGCCCGAAGGGAATCACATGAATTCACAATCCCTTCACAATCATGACTGGCCCTTCGAGCTCTGCAAACTTGTTGGTTGTTTGCCAAGGCACTGGAAATCTGTGTCGACCATGCTCACATGCTGTCCTGACATTTTTGGCGAAGTCTTTAACCAAGCCGAACACGGACTCCGCTGATGTCCACTGTCCCAATTCTATCGCATTGCACGTGGAGAGGTCCTGACTTCGTCAAAGGCATGACCTTCTGGCCTCATCTGGATCTAAGAAGCTAACAAGGCGCAAGGAGGACCGTGATACACTGCGATGTGCCAGCATCAGTACAGTGAAGAGACGACCGAGGCCAACAACATGATAGTTCTGATCCCCCTGGCCCGCATCATCCCACACCCTCTCGTTTGCATGCACCCGCCATCATTCCTGAAGCACACCCGTGCACATGTTCACCAAGGCTCTTGAAACTGCTCATCGAGCTGGTGTGGTTGGAGCAGCCAAAACATCACCACGAACAAGCACCAGCAGAACTTCACATGTCCAGCGGCGTTGGGCTAACCATATTCATAAGCACATTAATGATTAAGCACTCAGAACCTGTCAATGTTGGCACAGCCTGGTAGCGAAGCCGAAACAACCACCAACATGCAGACGTGTTTGGCCAACAGGGATACGGGGTTGCAGGCGGCACCAAAAGAGTTGCAGGACCTGTCGTTCTGTGCGTCAGAAGCAACATTGCTTGCAACTACACTTCCTTGCACTCCCGCCGGTCACAGTGGCGGCAAAGCACACACTCACAGAGTGTGTTGATGCACTTTTGCAAGCTTCTACAACAGTTTATCTAGCACTGCAATGCCTCGTCGGGCTTTACGAACTAAACTTGCACACGGCTGCGTCAATCAACCGGCCGTTTTGCTTCGAATGCACCATTTCTAAGCGCTCCATTATGTAGTCGAACGTGCCACGTACTCGGCCAAGCCATCGGAATTCGCCCCGAAGCACCTGCAACATTTAAAACTTGTACCGAGCATGCAGAGCTTTTGGCCAACGAAACAATCACAAGTGTCTGAGAGGGACGCTGCACGCCCGTCAGGAAGTTCATCCAGTTGACCAGCCTGGGTGCTCCGACTGCAGATTGATAGACACTGCCAAGCACTGGCATCATTGGCAGCTCCACAACACCACAGCTTGCGGCATAATGGTATGCACCCGGCACCTGCAACCATCAGAACTGCTGCGGAACATCATGGCACAGCAGGGCATCACATTCAGAAGTCCGACCTCTGCAATCTTCTCCTTCCAGGCCAAGCACCATTTTCGCTTGCCGCCAAGCGCCACAATGTCTGCACAGAGGTTGCCCTGCCAGAATGGAAACATACCCAAAATAAAGGCAGCAGGTCAAATGGGAGAGGCGACCTGCCAAGCTCCATGAAGGACTGTCCGATGGCCCCCCGAATCCTCAGGTGAAGATGTGAAACAGGCCCTACTGCTGTGAATCATGAAGCTGAATTACGATGAACATGTTGTCGTTTCTTCTACCAATAGGCCTGTCTGCGGTGCACAGCTTGTCCATGCATGGCAAGGCTTCCACCTCAATTGCTCAGGCAACTTAAAAATCATGAATCATGAGGGGCTGCACCTGGCATGTCAAAACTTCTCACGCCCGCACTGGAGAAAGTGCAATCTGCTTCGGTTGCCATCTCTCCTTTGTTGTCACGGACCTGTGCGAAATTCCGCATCAGACAAAAAGAGAGAGAGAGAGAGAGCCCTGGACTCATCAAGCGTCCGGCGGTGCCAATCAGGTGCCAGACGCTAGAAACAACCCGAAGGTCCTAAGCTGGGCGCACGCACTCGGCTCTGCCTCTTCGCCTTCCTCTGTAAGCCGCTGACAGAACGGCGAGCTACAGCTCGTGAGCTGCAACACACCCTCCAGGAGGCGTGCACCTGCAGAATCGTCCACTGCTCCAAGTGGCCAACTGAGGAAGCGCGCAAGACAAAAAAACAAGCCCAAGCAAGCCCGAGCAAGCCCAAGCCTGCCTGCCGGAGTTCGAACAATGAACCCAACCATCGCCACGAAAACACCTGCCCATTCCAAAAAGTGTCTCCCACTCAAAGACAAATACCACGCCTACGACACCACCAACAGCCGGCACAAGCTCAAGCTTGTGCAAAGGAAACACCAACAACACGCTCGAAGGCTGCAACATCGGTTCGAGCATGCACTAGGTCGCAAAGAAAATACAACCAGTCTCTTTCTACTTCGGGCTTCCACCACACAAGAACAGCAAAATTTGCTTTGGAAATTTCAACGCCTGACGCCAACAAGCCTCTGACGATTCCTGAGGCCAACGATCACTGTGCAGATCAGCGGCGAACAAAATCGTGCAAGCGAACACTGAGGGCACGACTGCCCAACCACGACAAACCGTTGAAGCAAAGCCCAAAGATTGAAGATCCAAACCTTCTGTGCTCAATTTGTGCACATGCGGTGTTGCACTTGACTGTGTCCACTGATGCAGAGGAAATACATGATGGGGCGCTGACAAGTCAACATCTGTGGCAGCGCATCGCCCAGCACACGAGATATGTCAACCATGACTCATGACCATACGAAAGCCAGCTGTCGCTGCTGTTGAAAAGGTCGCGTGCCAAGTTGCAGTGAAAAACGTATACCCTATGCCCGATCAACTCCACTGTTCCACACTGTCCTGGTTCGAATGCCATTGTAAGCATTACTGTAATGTTATAATTTGCTAATTAGCAAAAGACCCTAGCAAAACCTGCAGCCATAAACCTGCAGAAATGTTCTGCGCGAGCGCACACATTTTGGCAAGATTGAACACGATTGCATACTGCTGAGAAATCTCAAGCGACTAAGCCCCCGGCGCAATGCCATCGATGCAGAAGGCGCAGCTTTTGAGCGAACCCATGCCAGAAACATCCCTACACTAAATCATCAATGCGTAACCTGGGAGTGTCACCTGCACAATCAACAACCCACAAAAACTCAAGTGCCAACTTGACGACGTTGCACACCTCATCTGCTACCATGTGATTCTCGCGGAACACGGCAAATGAAACATGCAATGCACCTTCCTTCCATGGGATGTGCCTGTCACCTCCATGCGCAAGCAATAACGACTGAAAATGAAGATGCGATGGTGAAGCTACTCCGAATCAATGACACGTTCCATGCACTTCATTTTGTCGCACAAGGCTCTGCGACAAGCAAAGAAAAATCTTGGACGGAATCGTCTGGCCCGTAAAAGTGATCACTGCATTTTGCATTATCTCTCCGCCTCTCCGCCTCTCCGCCTCTCCGCCTCTCCGCCCTCTCTGCCCTCTCCGCCCTCTCCGCCCCTCTCCGCCCCTCTCCGCCCCTCTCCTCCCTCTCCTCCCTCCCCTCCCTCCCCTCCCTCCCCTCCTCCCTCTCTCCCCTCCTCCCATCCCTCCCCTCCCTCTCCTCCTTCCTTCCTCTCCTCCCCTCCCCTACCCCCCTGCTCCCTCCCCCTCCGCTCCGCTCCGCTCCGCTCGCTCTCCACTCCTCTCCGCTCGCTCGCTCGCTCGCCTCTCCTCCCTCCTCTCCTCCCTCCTCTCCCTCTCCTTCCTCTCCTTCTATACTCCCTCCTCTCCTATCTCTCCTCTCCTCTCCTCTACTCTACTCTCCTCTCTCCTCCCTCTCCCTCCCTCTGTCCTCCTTCCTCCCTCTCTCCCTCTCTCCCTCCCTCCCTCCCTCTCTCCCTCTCTCCCTCTCTCCCTCTCTCCCTCTCTCCCTCTTTCCCTCCTCCTCCTCCCTCCTCCCCCCCTCCTCCTCCGCCTCGTCCTCCCGCTCCTCCTCCTCTCCCCTCCCCCTCCTCTCCCCCCCCCTCCTCCCCCTCCTCTCCTCCTCCTCTCCTCCTCCTCTCCCCCTCCTCTCTCCCTCTCCTCTCCCTCCTGCTCCCCTCCCTCCCTCTACTCCCCTCGCTCTCGAACTCCGCTCCTCCTTCTCTCCCTCTCCCTCTCCGCTCGCTCCTCACCTCTCTCTACTTTCTGCCTCTCCCTCACATTCCTCTCCTTCTCCCTCCCTCCTCGTCTCCCTCTCTATTCCTATCCTTCCTCTTCTCCTCTCCTCTATCTTTCTCTCCTCTCCTACTACTCTCCCTCTCTGCCCTCTACTCTCTCCCTCTCCTCTCCCTCTCCCTCTCCCTCCTCCTCTCCCTTCCCCTCTCCTCTCCCTCTCCCCTCCTCACTCTCCTCTCCCTTCCTCCCACCCCCTCCTCCATCCCTCCTCCCCCTCCCTCTCCCATACTTCTGCCCATCCCTCTTCCCCTCCCTTCCCTCCCTCCCGTCTTGCTCCCTCTCCGCTCTATCTTCGTCTCGTCCCTCTTCCCTCTCCTCTTCCCTCTCCCCTCTCCCTCTCCCTCGCGTCTCCCTCCTTCCTCTCTCCCTCTCCCTCTCCCATCTCCGCGCCTCTCTCAATCCTCCTCCTCCCTCTCTCTTCCTCTCCCATCCTCTCCTCTCCTAGCCCCTCCCTCTCCCTCTCCTCTCCCTCTCCTCTCCCTCTCTCTCCCTCCCTCCCCCTATCCCCTATTCTTCCTCTCCTCTCTCTCCCCTCTCCCTCTCCTATCCCTCTCCTCTCTCCCTCCCTTCTTCTTTCCTCTTCCTCTCTTCTTCCTCTCCTCTTCCTCTCCTCTTCCTCTCCTCTTCCTCTCCTCTTCCTCTCCCTCTCCTCTTCCTCTCCTCTTCCTCTCCTCTTCCTCTCCTCTTCTTTTCCTCTTCCTCTCCTCTTCCTCTCCTCTTCCTCTTCTCTTCCTCTCCTCTTCCTCTCCTCTTCCTCTCCTCTTCCTCTCCTCTTCCTCTCCTCTTCCTCTCCTCTCCCTCTCCTCTTCCTCTCCTTTTCTTTTCCTCTTCCTTTCCTCTCCTATCCATCCCCTCTCCCTCTCCGCTCCCTACTCTCCCTCTCTTCCCTCTCCTATACCCCTATCATACCCTATTCTCCCCTATCTCCTGTCTCCCTCCCTCTTCCTCTCTCTCCTCTCCCTCTCCTCTCCCCCTCCTCTCCCTCTCCTCTCCCTCTCCTCTCCCTCTCCTCTCCCTCTCCTCTCCCTCTCCTCTCCTTCTCCTCCCTTCCTTCTCTCCTCCCTCTAAAACAAGAGCGGCGTCGCACCGCACTCACCAATCCTGCCACTGTATCTGCGAGGACCTGATTGGCCTGAGCCCGCGTGAGTCTGGTCGCCACAGAATGCGCGAACTCCGAATCATAGCACAAGTACACAGTTCTGGACCACTCTGGGGGCATCCGCTCTGGAGGTCCATCAGGTATAGCGTGTTGTTCGTGTGCTCGGTTGCTCCCACGGGACCGTGCATGGCTGCCAACCACGGATCAGCTTTCCTCCAAACCCGTTTGAACTGTTCCTGGCCCGCCCCATATGGCTCCTGGACCATCCCTGGCCCTGCCCTGCCCTGGCCTGGCTGTGGCCCTGGCCCTCAACCCCCACTCCCACCCTACCCCAAAGGGTCCCAGTGCACCGCTCCGCCCCTCCGCTCTTCACCCACCCACCCCATATGGCTCCTGGCCCATGCCTTCCAAACACTGCTGCTCCCCATCCGCCGACGTCCCTCCCTCTCATCTCCCGGACCCATCATCAGTGTACACATGCAACTCTTGCAGCAATGGAGGCTGCGCGACCGCGCCCTCCACTCCACAAAATCTTCCACCGTATCCACGGTCCGCATGCGCTCTAGAACCCCCACAGCTGGACTGATTCCAACTCATCTTCGCTGCACTCATGCTTCCTTTCCCGCTTCTGTATCATTCCACCGGAAGCTCTTTGCACCTCCTCCCGCCACTTACTGCGATTCTGGACTTTTCGGAACCAGTCCATTTCCGGGATCTGGGCGTGTCTTGGACATGAGTCAAGTCACTGCGCCGCTTAAAAAAGGGCACATCTTGGCGCCATGCCCATCAATCCAGCCGAACAGGATCTATTTTGCGGAGCCCACCGGCATACGCGCCACGTGTCCGACTCAAATTTTATTTTGATTTTCATTTTTCGAAAATCAGAGGAACAGAGACGAAGGAAAGAATGTGGAGTAGAAGGAAGGGAGAAGAGAGAAGGGAACTCATTCCAACTTCCACTCTTGCGTGTAAAAGGGCACAGTGCCAACGAGATGGCAGATCTGGCGCGGCGCGGGGCCATGGGTCGCGTCTGGTACTGTCCAATCTGTTCGGGAGCATAGAAGCTAGAAAAACCATGAACGGGACTCGCGCGCAAACGAGGCACTGCGGGGATGGGGTCATTAAGAATTTTGTCAAAGCGCCGCACCGGCATCTCAAGTGAAGGGCTCGGGCCAGGAAGGGAATCCGGGGGAGGGGGAGACACGGGCTGAGTGGCAGGCTTTCGGTGGTTCAAACAGCATCCTGACCTGGCAATGGCCCTGCGCGATGGAACCGGAAATGCAAGCTGGAAGACCTACAAGAACAGTGGACGAGGCAGCAAGGCAGGAGAAGCACGGGCATGCAGAGGTTGGACAGGCTGGACCTGCTGGAACAAAGTCTTCTCCTCTTTCTCCCAGAAGGGGTGGCTCCCCGGCAGAGAGTGTGGCGCCGCTAGGCTCATCGAGTTCTCACTTTTTGGCTCCCCATAGGGGGTCTCAGAAGAGAGGGGTGTTCTTAAGCTCCGCAGGCAGGTGGAGTTGGGCAATCCGAACCCCAACTCCGGCGCGGGGCAGGGGGGGAGAGAAACTCAACCTGGGTTGGAGTTCAGGTTTACTCCATTTCCAACCCAGGTTGGAGTTCAGGTTTCCTCCAACTCCAACTCGAGCGGGTTGGAGTTCAGGTTACTCCAACAGTTTAGGATTGGAGTTAACTCGAACCCTAAAACAGGCCAGGTTGGGGTTAGGGTTAATCCGAACCCCAACTCCTCCCCGTTCAGGTCACGTTAACTCCAACTCAAACCCGGATATTGTTAATATTCTTAGTAGTAGTTAGTAGTAGTACTAGCAGTTCTAGTAGTAGTCGTCGTAGTAGTAGAAGCAGTAGTAGTAGTAGTAGTAGTAGTAGTAGTAGTAGTAGTAGTAGTAGTAGTAGTAGTAGTAGTAGTAGTAGTAGTAGTAGTAGTAGTAGACGTAGTAGTAGTAGTAGTAGTAGTAGTAGTAGTAGTAGTAGTAGTAGTAGTAGTAGTAGTAGTAGTAGTAGTAGTAGTAGTAGTAGTAGTAGTAGTAGTAGTAGTAGTAGTAGTAGTCCCCATTCTCGAACAAGAGCTGGTGCACTGCTCAGCTAGGCTGACAGCAAGAAAAACAGATGTTCTGATAGAATTTCAGCCTCACCTCATGGGCACGCTGCAGAAGCATGCCAGCATCTACGTGAGCGCCATGCAGCTTCAAGGCGGCGAACTCCTTGGCCGGCGACCGCCCGGAACTCTCTCGCGGAAGGCCAGAGGCTTGCCGATCACGTCTGAGCAAGGATGAGCCACCTCCACACAGAAGATCCAGCACCCTCTCAGTCTGACACTGTCAGAGCTACCATGGGACACTGTCCCAGCACGCTGCTTAAAGCACTGCTTGTTGCTCGGCTAAGGCTCCGGCAAGGCCGAAGCTTCTGGCACTGCCAGAGAC